CTGTCTTGTACAATTTGCTTACATCACTAGATTGTGGGCTCCTATAGTGAATGAGTGCAAATATTTTTTTCTTGTGCCCTTAGCTCCTACCATAGAGCCTAACTTATAGATGGCCCATAAGTGTAGTACTAAGTTTGTTGGGAGTAGGAGAGGAAGAAATGTGTTTCCTTTTTTGCCTAGTATCTTTTCAGGGAATTATCTCCCCTCACCATTTAGTACTTCTGGTTAAGAGAAGGCTTATCTCTTTCCAACCCATCCCTAGGGGTGGGCAATTGATCCAAACTAGACCAATTGAAGCCTTGCTCTGTACTCTTGCAAGAAATATGAGTGTAGAGGTATCATCACCCTTCTCCTACCAAGATTTAGAAGGACACTGTGATGGTAAAGCAATCGCTTGCCATCTTTGCTATCACTCAAATAACCCTAATTGAGTATGAAGTCAACACAGAAAATAAGAAATGGAAAATAGAGAATAAATAATCCTTGAAGACATAATTGGAATCCTTGGATTCAGCCTTTCCTGAATTTCACTTCCCTTTGAAATGCCCAATTATATAAATCAAAGCCTTTTGGTTTATGTATTTGTTTAAGCAAATTTGAATTATACTTTTATTTCTTGCAACTCAAAAAGTCCTGCCTGGTATACTTCTTAATAATGTACCCTTTCTGAAGTTAACACATCATTCTCCAAATCTTCAGAGGTGTTTTGGAGGTGAAGGAGATGGGGTGGAAAGCAATACGTGTAATTACCTGAGAGTCTGTGACCAATAAAATAGGAGTCCTGGCTTCATATATTTTGCAGCACTGTTAAAAATCATAAATTCTTAAATCATGATATAAATAAAAAATAAAACTATTATAATGTTCAGATCAAGAAGAGACCTGCAACTACTGTGTTTGAGGATACTCCTGTTATTTTATTTCTATATATTGTCATCAAGTATTTGATCAATGAAAAAAACATGAATCCTTGAAATAAGAAATTCATTCTCTTTTAATAGAACACAAGCCAGACAAAATCCTTTTTTAAAGAATCTGTCATATAAAATTGACAAAAATAGTTAAAGTTGTATGTGTGTATATATATCTATGTATGTGCGTATGTTTGTATGTGTGTACATATGTATCTCTGTGGTCTGTGTGCCTGTATGTGTGTCTATGTATGATTGTGTATGTTTATACACATGTGGTAAATAAGTTGTATATAAGTGAATGGGACTGTGTGTATATTTACATATACGTGTGTATGAGTGTGTTTGTGTGGCTATATCTCTACGTGACTGTATTTGTGTCTGTGTCTATATCTCCATGTGCTATATTGTGGCTTAATTTGCATTTGTGTCTGTGTGTGTTTACGTGTGTGTGCAGTATAAGTATGGGTTCATGCCTGTGTCTTTGTGCTGTTTGTGTCTACACGTGTGTTTGTGCAAACATATATGTGCCTGTGTTGTATGTGTGTATGCCTGTAGGTATATTTGTGTGGCTGTCTGTGTGCATGTGTCGACGTGTCTGTGGCTGATGGCAGGAAGAAGGATAAAGCTACACTATCCTATTCTGTACTTGGTGCAAATTAGGAAAAGCTGCCCTCTCTGGTGGGACAGTACAGCCTCACAGGCACAGGGATTGGCCAGCATAGTGGGGAATGGATTTCGGTCTCTATTGGGCCCCTCATCTGGTGTCTTAGAGCAGAGAGCAACTTGGTGAGTGTGAGGGGTATTTTGGAAGACCCAAAGTCCATTCAGCCTCTCCTCTGTTGTGTAGTGCAGGCACTTTCCCATAGAACTCAGTGTGAAAACTGATGTCCTATAAATGTTCCAAAATGACATGATTCCAGAGGCGTTCATGGCAGAGTTTCTCTACCTGAGGTCCAGGCACTGCAGAGCCTTCAGTGGGCTCCTTCTTCGACTCGGCTTGAGGCCTTGAGCATGCTTTCCCTCAGGCAGACCTTCTCTCACCTCTCTTTTTGGAAAGCTCAAGCCAGAGAGTCCTGCCTTAGCATCCTATGGCCTCAGACTCACTTCTGCCACCTGTTGCCTTGTTGTAGAAAACACGCGTTGAGGTTTATGGTTGCATATTGCCATGGCACATTACATAGTTTGCAGTTTTTAAAAAATGACTCATGACTAAGAGGCTGTGGGGTTGTGATCGGGTGGTGTTAGTGGAGAAACATACGGATGGTGTGGGACTAGTTTAGATGGAGAGTGAGATCTTCGAACTGGGAGTGGATGAGTGGTTCAAACGTGAAGAGAAAACTGCTGCTGCAGGTTGGATCTAGAGGGATTGTTAGCACTTAACATTCCTTCGCAACCTTCATATCCAATATGTGCTGCCTACCTCAACTTCTCAGCAGAAACTCCCTCTTCAGCCGTCTCACTTGTAGTGTCTTGTGATAGACGACCTTGGGCAAGTTGCTCAACCTTTATGAGCCTCTGTTTCTTCAGCAATAGCCCCTATTCACTCATGTGGGTGTTTGGAAAGAATAATGACATAGTTTATGTGAAGACCTGGGCGCACAGTGCTCAGTGAATGTTGTTGCAGCCTTTTCTCCCCTTTTGTTCACCCTCTTCTTCCTCCTCCGGGTGCCCATAGCACTTCATCTGTCCGTAGTACAGCATCTATCTCTGACCTAGCACTTGGCAAGTGGTCAGTAGTCAGTAGATATTTGTTGTGTGAAGAGTTAAAAGAAGTCAGGCAGGAAAACGGAGGGAAAATTGTAAGTCTCAGGCATGTAATGAAGTAAGTTGAAACACTTTCCCATCTTTGGACACGATCTAATAGTATCCTTTGATAGAAAAGTGGAACAAACAATGATTTTGTATATGTAAAATGTAGCTCTAGGTGACAGTCTGGGTGGGGAGCTCAGTAGGCCCTTCTGATCACTGATTTCCTGTTTGTGAACATCAGCCAGGTCTTACAGTGGACCATTTCAGTTTTCCCTTTGATATGACAGGGTGAATTTGGAAGAGAGAGAGTGTGTATATGCAACAGCACCTGTTTCTGACAGAGGGTCAAGTTTCAGAGAGGCTTAAAGGAATCTAAATTGTGAAAGAAAGAAAGGGAGAAATAGAGGAGAAAACAAACCTTGTTAGTAATGAGAGATCCAGCAGGCCGGTAAGGGCTGCCATCACTACAATTATATACCAGGTATTAATCACCTGCTATTTACAGAGAACTGTGCTAGTTGCTGAGATTGCGAAGTAGAATTCCAGGTTGTTGCCCTCCAGAGGCTTCCAATCTAGGACATGGAATTGGTTAGAAGATGAAGAAGTATCAGACAGTATCTATCTGTTCAGTACTGTGACAAATACTTAAAGGTATTTTGTCAGATACTATCATTCTCCAAGAAGAATCTAAGGTTCAGAGAGATTAAGAAACTTTCTCCAGCTCATCCATCAAACGAGCAGTAGAACTGGAAGAAGGCCCAAGTCTGTCTGGCTCTAATGGCACTGTACTGCCTGCAGGCCTCTGAGTAACAGCATCAGGACAAGCATGTGAAAAAGACAATTAACTTGACAAGCTATCCTAGGTTCAATGCCATGTGAGAAATATTTGACGATTGTTGCAGGAATCCAACAAGAAATGAGATTTATTAAGATTGAAAGAGGAACTTTACAGAGGAAGTAGATACTCAACTAGATGCTGAGGGCAGAATATGAATCCAATAAGAACGAAGTGAGAGGCGTTTTAGGTGGAAGTAGGCATTGTATGTGCAAAGCTGGAAAGTGGGAAAATTCTCACCTTCTGGGTTTGTGTTACGCAGCATGGAATACCAGAGAGAGCAAAGCCTGCTCCAAACTCACTAGCAGTGCTTCCCTAGCCCAGTCACCCAATTTCTATAAGACTCAGTGTCCCTATTTGTACAATGGTTGTGGTAACAGGCACTTCAAAGAGTTGTTGAGACCAGAGACAATGTGTATAATGCGATCTGCCTCCTCAAAATCACCACTCGAAATTAAAACTCAAATAAAGTCAGGTTTCCTCTCTTACAGTTTTCTGTTTTCCTTTCTACTTGCACTTGAATCAACTGTATATTTGTATGTTTATTGCTTTAATGTCTTTTCTTGACTGTAAGTTCCATGAGGACAGGGAAAATATCTGTTCATCTCAACACTCTCTCTTTAATGCCTAGAATAGTACTCCATAAATCTTTGTTAGATGAATACATAAATGTAGGAATAAATAAATGAATAATAAGATCTATTTCTGTGCTATGATTCTAAGAATCTCAGGGAAAATATCTCTTCTCTCTGGCAATGGGCAGGTTGCAAATACAGGAAAAGCTTTCATAGAATGCAGTTAGAGCATTACAGGGCCTCAACACGTTACTAGAGAAGCACCAGGTCTCCTCTCCATCTACTATAGGGAACCATGTCTGAGCAGGAAGGAAATTACACAAACTTCCAGCTCAGCTGGTTCCAGAGTTTCACAACCCAGCTCTGTCTTGCTTGCATCTGACATGCTACTTCATTGGTGTGACCTCCAGTGTGCTGAGTGGATAATGACACTGCATAATCACTGTGCTGCCCCACAATGACCCTGAGTGGATGTCTAGACTTTCCAGTAATCAAGTCTTATAATTCATTACAATGCAATAACCTTTTATGTATTGTTGGGGAGGAGAATAGGAGACATACAGATGCACTAATAATTACTAGGCATTTGATATATGGTCTGTGATTGAGATAAGGGCTGGAAACTAAAGGGTACAGAGGAAGCTACATGGCCCAGCCTGATGTGAAACAATGGATGTATGGTTGGATAATATTTATATCTTTTCAAAGTGTGATTATATATATCTTCCCTTCTTAGTCTCCCTGTAGTCATGGGGAAGCATAGATAACATTCAGATTATTTGCTCCTATTATAGAGAGAAACTGAGGCAAAGTGGGGTGGTTCCAGACATAGAACTGGTTTCAGTGGCTGCCTTAGTCTGTTTTGTGCTGCTATAACAGAATGCCACAGGCTGGGTAACTTATAAAGAAAATAAATAAATTTATCGCTCACAGTTATGAAGGCTGGGAAGTCCAATATCAAGTTGCTGGCATCTGGAGAGTGTCTTCTTCCTGTGTCATCCCATGACAGAAGACGAAAGGGTGAGAAAGAGGGGTTGGGATATCAAATTTGCCCTTTAAAAACGAACTCATTCTTGAGACAACACCGTTGATCTATTCATGAGGGTGAAGCCCACAAGGCCGAATCACCTCTCATTAGGCCTCACCTCCCAACACTGCTGCATTGGGGATTAAGTTTCCAACACATGCTATTTGGAGGACACACTCAAATCACAGCAATGGCAGATATGAACTAATGGCCCAGAGCTCATGACCATCGGTTTAGGGATCTTCTGAACCACTCTGTCATTTGCCCTTATGTTGGACAGCAGTATGAGCATGCTTGTCATTTCACAATGTCACAGAAGATGGGGGACCTTCCATAATATGTTCCCTATGCACTTTTGTGATAGAACATCAGAATAGAATCTATTAGTGATACGAAAGTGCTGGGAAAGGGAGGGCACTATCCCTCTAAATGATACAGAAGGCAGTGGGACGTGCTGAGTAGAGGAGGGTGTAGTCCCCTGCTAGGGCTCCACTCCCAGGCCTGTGTCAGGGACCTAGGTGAGGACAAGCATTTTTGTTTTCCTGTGCAAATGTTGCATTTTCCAAGACTACCCTGGCTTGCCACGCCCCTATCCAGGCCATCAACTGGCAGAATGACATCGAGCTTGGCTGTGGCAGTGAGAGGAGAGCTAGGGCCGCTGAGCCCGATTCCAGGGGGAAAACCATCTCCCTTTTGGCTCCCCCATTCTGCCGAGAGCTACTTCCACTCAACAAAACCTTACAATCATTCTCCAAGTCCCTGTGTGATCGGATTCTTCTGGTACACCAAGGCAAGAACCCTGGGACACAAAAAAACCCCTCTGTCCTTGTGATAAGGCAGGGGTTTGAGGTGACTAACACAAGCCACCTACAGACAGCTAAACTAAAAGAGCACCCTATAACACATGCCCACAGGGGCTTCAGCTGTAAACATTCACCCCTAGACAGAGTCAATGTGGGGTCAGAGCTCCACAGCCTACCTGGCTGTATGCTTTCCTAGAGGTTTGTGCAGCCAGGGTGGCACTGAGTAAGTGAGTCACACCCCCATCGCGCACGCCAAGTGAGGGAGACAAGGGAACTTTTCTGGTTTCATTAGGAGTTGACAGACTAAGGTTCATGGGCTACATTGTTCATTGCTTGCTTTTGTAAGTAAAGTTTTATTGAAACATAGTCACACCTACTCATTTGCTATTGTCTGTGGCTGCTTTTACATTACAAAGTTGAGTAGTTGCAACAGAGACTGTATTGCTCACTAGTCTAAAAATATTTACTATTGGTCCTTTACAGAAAAAAATGTGTCACTCCCTGGAATGAATGAAATGGAAGTAAATGGAAAAAAAAGAATTCAATCATTCATAACAGGCAGTGTATCATAACTGAAAAAGATAATGAATATTGGTTTCAGACAAACTCAGGTCAGAATCTCACCCTGGCCACTTGGCTAGATAACTTTGAACTAATTATTTTTACTCTTTGGGCCTGTTTTTGCATCACTGTAGAAGGTTGCTGTTTAAGAATTCTATAAGGTAAAATGTAATGTAGCTGTTATGATTAGGTTTGACCCCATACAATAGAAAACACAAAATAAGTGTCTTACACAGGACGGTAGTTTTTTTTCTTTCATGCAGAGGTCTGGAGGGCAGTGGGTATTGATTGGTTCAGTGCCTCTTGCATTAGGAACTCATGCCTCTTTTATCTTGTTGCTTTGCTGTGTGTGGCTTTCATTCCTGAGGTCCTTTCATGGTTCAACATGGCTGCTGGAGCAAATAAACAATCAAATACACAAAAGCTTAGAGAAAAAGCCATCCGCAGAGGCCAGGCAGCAAATCCATTTACTCAAGGCTAGCCAAGATGAGATCCCCTGGTCATAGTACATGAAACCAGAATATTTCACTTATTCCATTCTTGGGATACATTGAAGCAGACCTAAAAGCAATGTCTTCTGTGTATTAAGCATCTAACACTTTACAAAGCATTTTCATATGTCTTACCACATTTGTTTTTCACAATGCTCTGAAAAGGTAAGATGACTAGATTTTAACATTATTCCTATTGAATACTTGATTCACGCAGCTGCTAAGTAACAGATCTTAACGAGTCTACAGCTAGGTCTTCTGATATGTTGCTGGAAATGAAAGGTGAACAATCATGGTGCATAAGAAAGAAAATAAGCCAAATCAGGACCCCTGGTAGAGAATCAGTGCAAAGACTGGGGCTAATTGTGTGGTCTCAGCCTCACTGGGCTGTTCTCCTAAACGGTAAGACCAAGATAAACGCACTTATTTACTTTTGGGGTTATTGTGAAAATAGCAGACAATCTTAGTGCACCTGGCACTTAGGACCAGTTGAATGAAATCATTACCTTTCACAGGTGTGTCTTTGGAAAATTACGTCCCTTTCCTGGACCTCTAGGTTTCCTTTTCTAGGAAAACAAAATGTTTGGTCTCAGTCACTGCTAAACTATCTCCCAAATCTCGAGCTCCCTCAGTCTGGGATCCTGCCGTTTATGAAAATAGCTCAGATTGGAATTCTCCCTTTGGTTGCCTCCTAGCTGTGTGTCCCAGTAAAAGTTAAAAATTTTTGATTCCCTGCCCTCTGTAAATAGGGATTCATAACATGCAGCTTATTAGAAAGGGGAGGCACGTGAGAATTAAATGAGGTCGATGTCCAGTACCCACTAGATTGCAACATTTCTCAAAGGCAAGGACCCATCTGTTTTGTAGATTTACAGAATGTCATACGTTGAAGTACGGGGGTTGGCCGTGGGATTAGAAAATTTCTGTAAAGATTAAGGTACGAGACACAAGGTAAGCGTTCAAGAACTGTAACTATGCAATATTCTTACTATTTCTTACACCCGCCTGCCACAGTCCTGAAGTTCAGTAAACGGTCTGACACACACACCCATCCGGGGCTGCGGAGAGTCCCCCTGGGTGAGCTCTGCGAGGCGAGTCCTCAGAGCGGGGAATTCGCAGCCTGAGCAGACGCAGCAGAGCCGGTCTTGGCTCCGCGCTCCTCCCGCCCAGCCCTGCCCTGCCCAGCCCTGCCCAGCCCTGCCCAGCCCTGCCCAGCCCTGCCCAGCCCTGCCCAGCACCGCCCGCGTGTGGCGAGGACACAGCGAACTCTCCAGCTGCGGGGCGGGCAGGCGCCAGCCAATCCCGGGCCCGGTTCAACGGGCCAATCAGGCCGAGCTTTACAGAGGACGCGGCGGGGGCGGGGCCGCGCGCGAGGCGGGGCTGCAGCCGCGCCCGGGACCGCCCCGCTCAGGCGCCGTAAGCCCTCTAGCTAAAACGTAGTGTCGGATTGGACAAGCACTGTAAGTGACCCTCCTCTCAATCCCACGTGGGCGCCGGGGGCTTTTGCTGGCGCGCAGGCTCTTCGCGCGCACGTCCAGGAAGAGGCTTCTCCACCCCGTGGGCGCACTGGCCTGGCGCTCCCCTCCCCTTTCCCACAGTCGTTGCCTCCTCCTCCCCTTCCTACTCCTCCGGCCGCTTGGTCTCTCACCCGCCGGGCCGTGGCTCCCGAGACGTTGTTGAGTTCCCTGAGTCCTCTCCTGGGTGAGGCGTCCGGCCACTCAAGGGAAGGGAAGGAAGGGGTCGGCCTTTACTGCATCCCCAAGGCTGCCCATTTAGGTGTCTGGAACCCGTGCTGCTTCCTCTCCGATCAGTGTCCACTTGACTAGATTCAGTTCTCTTTCTCTCCTCCCCTTACCCGTGTAGGACATTTCGCCGGCATCTGAGGAGCCTTTTAATTCACGCCTGGCTACCGAAGGCATTTCTAGGCTAATGTTGCTTGTACCTTTAAACGCTTCCAGCGCTTATTATAGCGTTTGAGGCACAGCTGAGTTTAGATCAGATCATGCTGTTTTGTTACGGTTATCCGCAGTAGGAAAGGCCTAGGGGTATCTTTCCATTTTTATCAGTTTCCTTTTTATTTAAAGATTGAAAAAGTGCAAAATGGTGAATTTCCCTCATCATGGGCTGTTTTCCACTAAAGTACTTCTGTGTCTTAACACAAATTTCTTTCCTGAAGGGTCAGCCATAACATGATCGAAGTCTGAAAAGCAGTTATCCTTAGGTTACATTTAAAAGTATGAGACCAGGAGGGGTGAAGTTCTTATGCTTTTGAACTGTAAATCAGAATGAAAGAAGGGAAGGTCTCTTATTTTGTGGCTGTTATTTACATAGTAGAGTTTTGCTTTGTATGGTTTTTGCTTGCTTTTCTTCTTTTTTTTCTATGATCCACCACGTGTGTGTCCTGATTTTTTTCCTTTTTAACTTGCTTGCTGGGTTTTCCAGCCAGATGACTGCTGCTTGGTCTTCTGGGAGTCTCCTGTTAATGGGGCCCTCACGCTTGGCTCTTGACCTGATGGCCACTGGCCTGGCTCTTGGAGGACCTCCTAGTGGGAGGCCCAGAGCGCTATTATTAAGGATGATTGGGGGAACAGATCAGAGGGGGTGAACCGGGCCTGGAGATCAATTTTGAGGGAGAGGGAGGTTGGGAGCCTGCCTGGCTGGATTTGAAAGTCAAAACATGTGTGCTGGAAGAAGGGCATAACCCCAGAGGGTGGAGAGCTTGTCTTTCTGGATGAAATTAAGAAGTTTACTGGGAGGAGACTGTGCCTTGCAGGCTGTGTTAGGTTTTGCTGTGGGCCTTGTCTTTTCCTGGAATTTGGTTCCCTTTCCCTAACCTTTCACTTTTTAACTGGTTTCCTTTACCTAACCTTTCACTTACTGATTTAAATAGTTTAAATCACAGTCAATTACCAGCTGGTTTTTAAAACAATTTGAGGTAATGAATCTTGCCCTTAATCTCCTAGCCAGAGTGGAACCCTCTAACCCCACCCCCAAGGGAATTTGAAATGATTATTTTACCAGAATGTGCTACAGAGATCACTTACCCTCTCACCTGCCCGCCTTTTTATAATGGAGGGACATGGAGTCAACCCAGGTGGTGTAAGAGATCATCGAAATCAGTTCATGTATTCATTTGTTCACTCATCTTGTCCACATACTTTGGGCCTTGAACTGTGGTAGTCTCTGGGAAAGTGCAGACGTTTAAGACTTGGTCTCTGCTTTTAAGCCTTCATCTAGTTTGCTTCAGTCCACTTTGATGAGGGAGATTACATGATAGTGAGATGATTACAGTGAAAAGGTATGCGGAAGACTCCCCGGAGTTGAGAGAAGGGCAAAAGGCTCAGTATGGGGTTTGGGGAAGACTTCCCAGAAGGGAATACTGGAATTGAGTTCCAAAGCTTGAGTGGGCTGGAGAAAGGGGAGGAATTATATGAACTGGGAACAGCATGCGCGGAACTACAGAAGCATGGCACATGGTTGATTTGTATGGCTGTGCAAGAAAGGCTGAAGTGGAAAATCACCTGACAGGAGGCTGGGGAGGGTGAAGGCCAGATCAGGAAGGGTCTGGTGAATCATCTTAGGGAAGTTTGAAATGTATCTCCAGGGCAAAATCTTATATCATTTTGCAAAAATCTTACGTAATTTTCTTTGTACATTATCGAAAATTCTGGTTGCAATTTGAAGAATGGATTGGATTGGCAAAGCCTGGAGAGAGTTAATTGCAGTAATACAGGTTAGAGACGTATTAGGGTAATAGTTATGGTAATGGAGAGAGATTAGGAAAATAGAATGGTTAGGAATTAGTTACTGATTGAATGTGGGGTAAAAAGAAATGTAGTCAATAGTAAGCATTCTTGAGTGGGCTATTTTGTAGCAGCTTTATTGAGGAATAATTGACATCCAGTATTGAGAGTGTCCAGTTGGAGAAGTTTTGTTAATATGCATGTATCTGAAAACCATCATCACCATCAAGATAAAGAATATAGCTAATACTCCAAAGATTGCTTGTGCCCTTTTAAATTCCTCTTTGCATACCCCCTAGGGTAAAGTATGTATTAAATGTTTTGTCCACTTTAAAAAATGAGCCATTTATTTTCATTTTATTTAGCTTTGAGAATTCTTTAAAGTTCTTTATCACATGTAATTTGCAAATATTTCTCTCATTTTGAGGCTTGTGTTTTAACAGTGCCTTTTGAAAGCAGAGTTCTTAATTTTGATGAAGTCTAATTTATAATTTTGGTTAAATAAATGTTACCAATCTGATTTATTATAGATTATGCTTTTTGTGTTTTATGTAAGATATCTTTGCTTAACCTAAGGTCTCAAATATTCCTCCTATTTTTAAAAAGAAGTGTTGTCATTTTTTTTTATGTTAAACCTGTGATCATTATAAGGTAATTTTTGTATAGCACATGAAATATGAAATGAAGTTTATTTTTTTGCATATGGCTATCCAGTTGTTCCAGCACCATTTGCTGAAAAGCTTATCTTTGTAGAATTGCCTTTGCACCTTTGTTCAAAAATCAATTTACCATGTATACATTGGCCCAATTTTGTGTTTTATTTTGTTCATTTGATCTCTTGTCTATTTTAATGGCCATACCACATATTCTTGATAAATACAGCTTTGTAATAAGTACTGATATCAGCTAGTGTAAGTCCTTTAATTTTCTTCTTTTTAAAATTTGTTTTGATTATTCTTGATTCTTTCTATTTCCATATGAATTTTATAATCACTTTATCCATTTCAAAGTAAAGGCCTATTTAGATTTTAATTGGAATTGTATTTAATGTATACATTAATTTGGGGGAGAATTGACATTTGAGATACCAGGTCTTCTGACCCATGGACATAGTGTATCTGTTCATTTATTTAAGTCTTCTTTATTTCTCTAGGCAATGTTTTATAGCTCTCAATCCATAGATCTTACACATCTTTGTTGGATTATCTGTAGGTATTTTCTATTTTTTGATGATATTGTAAATGATATTAATATTTTATATATTTAAAAAATTTAATTTCCAGTTGTTTTCTTGTTACTGGTATATTGATTATGTATCCTGAAATCTTGCTAAAGCGCTTATTAGTTCTAAGAGCTTTTTTGTAGATGCCTTCAGATTTTCTATTTAGGTGATCCTGTCATCTGTAAATAAAGATAGTTTTACTTTCTTTCCCAGTGAGGTTGCCTTTTGTTTTTCTTGCTGTATTCCACTAGCCAGAATCATTGCTTTGCATAGAGCTGATGAGAGCTGACATCTTGCCTTCTTCCTGATCTGCAGGAAAGGCATTCATTTTATCATTAAGTATGATGCATGATTCGAATTACATATCTTTGTAGATACGCTTTATCAGGTTTAGGAAGTTTCATTGTATTCCTGATTTACTGAGAATTTTTTTTAAAGGAATAGTAGATGTTGTAATTGTGTTGCTTTTTCTATAACTGTTGTGATCATTCATATTTTAAAAAAAGATTCTTAATGTGATACATTACATTTACTAATTTTTTTTTTCCTGTGTTAAACTTTGTGTTCCTGAGATACACCCTATTGGTCAAGGCATATTATCCTTTTTTTTATGTTACTGAATTTTATTAGCTAAAGTTTGAAGAATTTTTGTATTCATCCTCATAATACCTGACCTCTGGGTAAATCTGGCCTCATAGAATGAATTAGGAAGTATTTCTTCCATTTTGATTTTTCCAGAAGAGTTTACGAAGAATTGGTATTTTTTTTTTCTTAAATGTTATTGTAGCACTATTCACAATAGCAAAGGCATAGAATCAATGTAAATGTCTGCCAGTGGTAGACTGGATAAAGAAAATGTGATATATATACACCGTGGAATACTATGCAGCCATGAAAAAGAATAAGATCATGTCCTTTATATTAGCATGGATGGAGAAAGCTGGAGAACATTATCCTAAGTCAACTAAAGCAGAAACAGAAAACCAAAATACTGCCTGTTCAAAAGTGCACAAAAGGGGAAATGACACTGAGACCTACTTGAGGGTTGGGGGTAGGAGGAAGGAGGATTAGAAAAAAAATTAATATAAAAAAATGTAAACCTACAGTGTTTAAATAAAATTCAATTTTATTAAATTTGTTAAAAGTTTAATTGAATCTTATTGAATAAGTTTTAAAAAATAAAGCCATTCATTATTCCAGAAAA